CCCCCCCACAGAAAAACCCCAAAACCCCCCTAGAATCTTGAAAAATTCTCTGAATGGCCCACTTAACATGATTTTTCACCATTTTCACTCGTTCCAATCGAAAGTACGCAAAAAATTACCCGGATACCGGTATCCCATGAATGATTGGCGAATCTTCCCGGAGAGGTAGAGAATTTTCATATTTTATTCAAGGATGGTTCCATCCAACAAAAGTCCATTTTTAAGTATGAGCACAATTTTTCCGCACCGTAATTTTTGGCGTGTTTCATGTACCGGTATGTAACTTTAATCTGTTAAATTTTGGTGATGTGGCAAAATTGTGCTGGGTGTAAATGAAGACTAATAATCGTGGAAAATGCAGTTTTTTCGGTTTTCTCAAGTTTAGAGCTGTTTTTCGTGTTGACAGTTTAAGCTGAGAAAATGTCTAACCAATGATTTCTAACGGATTTTTTACGCTCTTTTTGAATCTGCAATCGTTTTTGTTGTATAACCATCAGTTTTCTAGTTATAGGTGAAAAATTGCCAAAAAACCCCAAAAATCGTTGAAAATGTCTAGAATGACCCCTTAAAAGTGGGTTTAGACAATTTTCGCCTGTTCCATTGAAAAGTACGTAAAAAATTACTTAGATGAACCTCCCGTACTCATGAAACAAAGCTTTTTTGGGCTCGTCATAAAATTAAAACCATTTTTCAGCCGAAAAATTGAGTCGGCTGTTTTGGCAGGAAAACGATGCACAATCGCAAAAATATTTTGCTCCAGAATGCACCTACCCTAGGGTACTTAAAATATGGGTTCAGATGATTTTTTGAAGTGGGGCCAAAATCGGCCCTTATCGATACCCCTCCTTTTCCGATTTTTCCAGTCAAAACTCTTCAAAAATGTCCCAAAATGACTTATTACTCTCAATATTAGTGATTCACCCCTTCAACCAAACCTTTTTGTGGTAGTTTCGATGGTTCCACCTCTTGCAGTGAGAATGTGAGTTGCCGAGTTTCTGAGCCTGAAACTTCCTTACTGGATAATTTAATGTATCTAAATGTTCATTGACTGTGAATGGAGTGTAATATTGTCTTGACAACATTAGCACCATGTGAAGTAAAATCTCAATCTCTTAACCTCCATATTTTGCTGCCGGGTAGGGATCCCTTAGCTATCGCTGCTATCTGAGTGCTGTCGAGAACCTTATCACAACTGTTGATATGTTTTATTGAGAAGTTATGTAATTTAAAACGGTTGTATTGGCAAGTCAATTTATTTGTATGTAAACAACAACGGAATGTCCAGAATTCTAAACATCTGACTGTATCTCATGTATCTGGAGGAAATTTATGTCAGGTCAGAGTTTGTGAATCCTTGGCAGCAGTTTATGAATTTCCCTTAAGTAACAACTTCGCTCAATAAAATCTGGTAAGTACTGCTCTGATTCACCATATCGTACGTATAATAAATAGTCAGCCTAACATCAGTGTAAGTAATGTTTGTAACGTATTTAAGCTATCCTCTGAAGATTGTGAGCAAGGGTGCAAATTGCGCGGAAGCTGAGGGATACTTGTTTTATTTTAGATTTTTCAGATTTTCAATCCTTGTGGAATACTGTGACTTTGGCAAACATTCTAAAATTAAGAATAAATTCAATACAATTTTGATCAGCGCGTTGTGTTGACCCTCTTGCAAAAACCTAGCGTGATGCAGAAAATTTCGGAGGCATAGAACAATTTGCACCTCTGTTGGTGAGATTTTCTTATGAACTTGGCATCCAGATATTTGTCCGACTTTTTCCCAAATTATCTCTCATATGGCAGCATACTTTGAGCCGACTGCACTTCACCTTTTCTCAATTTTCATAAATAAGAGACACCCTACCTACGATACTCCTTCTGGGTGAGATTCATGTTATTCGAATTGACGGTTCAAATAATTGAATTGATTGATACTTAATTTTCCAGAAAATATGCAGAACAATACTAAAACAGAATTTTTACAAAACAATCAGGGCACCGTACAGATTCTACAATCAAAAACCTTGAAAAATCACAACGGTGCAGCGAAGGAGTATTTAATTCTCGGCCAACTTCGACGGAACTTACATATTCCTCCTTATGGTGCTCTCTAATGCTTCATGGTGTTCCAATAGGTTGCATTGCATGGAACCCCACGGGTCTGGACTCTTGTGCAGACCTCAGTACTATACTGTCCAGATCAGCGTCCCCCCGCCCCACGCACGGTGCGCTTGAACTCACTTTAAATGCGACTTGAATGTACATCAAAAATTCAAGTTGGAGGTTGTAGTGGGGTACTCCCTGATGGGTTTTGGGGCTATTTCGAAATAGGTTGTTGGAGCTCCTCGAAAAATAATCGCATTTTTGTGGTTTTTTAGGGGTAAAATAGCAAAATTGACCTTGAGGCGACAAATTGAACCCCCTCTCCCTCATCCTTGCCCTGATCGATCTGTTTCGAAGTGAGATTTCCATTCAATTTCAAAAATTCAAATCGCAGGATGTAGTAGGGTACTGCCTGATGGGGTTTTGGCCAATTTCGAAATATAGTGTTTGGGATTTTTGAAAAATAATCGCATTTTTGTGGTTTTGTAAGGGTAAAATAGCACACTGGACACGGGGCGGCAAATTAAACCTCTTCTCTCTCATCCTTGCCGTGACCGATCTGAACATTTAGTATGTATTAACCTGGTGTAAGATGTGACTTTTCTGAAATTTTCATGCCCATTCAAAATCTTTTGCCCCCGCGGCAGCGTTGCCAAGTTGTGGACTCAAAAAGATCGAATTAGATGATAAAATGAAGGTTTCGAGGTGTGATTTCCTTCAAAATTTCACGAAAAATGTGCAATCTGAGAGTTTTTGATAAGGAAAAGCATATTTGAACAATTTAGAGTTGCAGCGTTGCCAGCTTCACGATTTAAAATTCGTCAAAATGATCCGAATTGCGTTGCAACCTCAAGGTCTGGATTTTTATTTCGTTCAGAATTGGTCATTACGGTTCTTCTGTACTCTATGCATTTAGGTACCATGAAAATTATGCCATTACTCACTTGATGGGTGGAGCTAACTCAACAAGAGAGGCCGGATAAAGCGAAGATTCGGGGAAAAGCGAGCGGTTCGGGTTTACAGATAGTTCTTCTTACATGACACAAAATTTACAAAACATCTTTCATTTCGTTGTCTAGTCTACTTTTGTTATGAAGGAATTTATGTCAATAGAACTCAAAATAATTGTGATTTTTTGCAAATTTTGATTCTTTAAGTTGTTGGGGGTAATTTTCTGGATTCGAACTATCCAATACGCTGTGAGTGGAGGTCGAATTCGGGGACTTTCAAACTTTTTTGAATCGTCGTTTTCCACTAATTTTATTTATGTTTTAATTGTTCATGTTTTTGGGAAAAAATTGGGGGAAGGCAAGATTTTAGATAGAATGTTCAAAGTATGACAGCAGCAGGGGTAAGGTTTGAGGGTGGAGGAAGATGTTCAAAAATTCTACTTTCTGTTGATGGAGTAGATTTAAGAACTTTCTGTCAACCCAAACCGCTCGCTTTTCCCCGAATCTTCGCTTTATCCCGCCTCTCTTGTTGAGTTAGCTCCACCCATCAAGTGAGTAATGGCATAATTTTCATGGTACCTAAATGCATAGAGTACAGAAGAACCGTAATGACCAATTCTGAACGAAATAAAA